CGAGGCCCTGTTTTTTACTTTCCTTTAAAAACTCTGTTACCTCTTGGTTTCTATGAGTCTGTCTTTCACACAAGCAGAGTAGGGCTTGGCTTCTCAGAGCAGTGCTTGGCAAGCACAGAGGCAGGAAACGCAGAAGGGAATGAGTCTGTCAGACTCATTTTCTTCTAGTTCAAATGTTTATTTCAGATTCGGGAGGAAGTGGAGTGGTTCCTTTCCATTTCCTGGTCTCTGGAACCTGCGAGTTGTATAAGGCTTCTAGAATCTTGCTCTATCACACTCACAGGTTCACAGACAGAGAGAGAGAGACTCTTTTCAGAAAGCCCTGGTTTGAACAGAGCAGAATTCATAGCTCTCCGCGCCCTCCCACAACTCTCTTAATGGGTTTTGACTGGAGCCTTGAGCAGGACAACGGAGAGCAACGTGGAGGACAAAGCTGGTGGGAGCATCCCCTTTCAGCTTCCAAGGAGTAGGGACCATGTCCCAGCTAACAGGAGTCCCCGGCCCCGCCACGTGACACACCTGGGGCCACTGCTCAGCAGCGAGTTGTGAATGCCACGGTGAGATCTGTCCTGAGCCCACTTTCTAAGTTCCTGAGACTGGCTGTGTCTGACATCAAGATGGAGTGTCAGCAGCAAAACTTAAAATATACCTGTTTTAGTAATGAGCTGATTTCAACCTTGAACATGCTGACTTTTCCACATTGTGATTTCTCTCTTTTTTTTTTTTAAATAGAAACCTATTTATTTCACTGCACTCACCAGCTTGATTCTGCAACTTGCTTTATTGTCTATGCAGTTGACACAGGTCATTTTTAATGCCAAATGGAGACCATCAGAAACCAAATTAGCAAATCTTGTGGTGAGTTTACTACTAAACTCTAACAGATGTGCCTGTCTCTTAACTGTAGGCATCAGGACTGTAGCATAATTTTAGGTACAAATTACTTACTGGGAATATTTATAGACAAAAAAAAAATTCTTCAGTAAAGGAGACCCGAAGACATTTAACTCAGATTATCCTGTAGTTTAACAATTGATAGAGAAATAACATTGTAAATGTATTAATTATGGTTTGTTTAAGAAAGTTTCCAGGGCAGAGAGCTTGATCTAATCACATTGGTTTTGTCAGAGCACTTTAAAAGATAAAAATCTGACTCATTACCTCTACTCATAATGTAGTTTTTTTGAGTTGCATTACTGTTCGGTAGCCACTAATCACGTTCCCTAAGATCTATGTATGCAAAAATACATACCCTTAAGTACAACTGTATTTACACTTAACACATGTATTTACATTTACACATTTAAAAGTACAAACTCATTTTTATGTTCTATCTACCATGCTCTAGGGGAACTCCTAAAATGAATTAGTCCTTCTATATGTTGGGATTCCCTCCTAGGATCCATTAATTATGACACATATGAGCTAACAGTATATTGAAGACTATTATGTCTTCACTAGATACAATCACAATACTCACTTTGGAAACCAAAAATAGTCAAAATGTGAATTGCATCACCATCTAATTTTTTTTAAATCGTCTCTACTGGTCTCTAACTAAATAAGGCACACTTATCGTAAGTACAGTAAGGTAACAAGTCCCTTTAATCAAGAAAAACCAGGATAAAGTGAGGAAGAAGAAAAGGAAAGATAAGGAAACATTGTAAAGGTCATAATGAGACAAGCATTTCTACTTGAAGATATTTTCACTACACTACAAGCAAGCTATGCCAAGTCATGTACTCTTCACACACAAAATTATATTGTATCAAATTCAAATTTGTTACAACTGCCATGCACATTAAACCAGTGATAACGAAAATGTAACCGAATATCTGATCTAGTCAAACAGCGACCAACATTAGCTCCCAGCCACATGAAGACAATCTCCAATGCCATTACTGGTGTCAGCTAAACCTCAGCCAGTTTGTCCTCTCCAGCCATTTTTAAATAAATATGTAACTATCTCAATTAGGAGGTTTTGAAGAAAGCCTCATGATGAGGTGATTTTGTTGCCATTCTCAGCGCCCTGCATTTGCTGTACTTAAAATAGACACTTGTACCAATGTCCTTTCTATTACCCGAAGGGGGAGAAAAATCACATACACACCAGTCCTTTCTCTTTCAGCTCACAGAGAAGCAACTTGATCCACCCAGTGTTGAAACCCGAGTAGGTCACTGTACACCATGATAAAATTCCCTAATCCCTGAGCCAAATCTCCCTAAGGGGGGCCTCCTCCTGACCCTCCACTTCCCAGGCTGACTTTTCCATTCGCTCTCTCCTCTGTCCCCCTTTCATTTCCCCTACCTTCAAGCCTTGATATGTGATCCTCGGTGGGGGCTCAGGTTTCCGTTTTTACAGCTTAGGCCGTGCTAGCTGTATACATTCCTTTCTTTCTGCCGGGCAGTGATTACTTACCAGGGTTTAGTTTACACTGGTCCAGATGAAAGCCGTTCAGATGAAGGCAAACACAGCCAGGCAGCTCCAGCAGCACCGATATGAAGCTGCACAAGGCCACATTGTGTTCTCGGTGACATTTTGTTGCACATATTTTTATACAGGGCAACCAACTTGTTATGTTACTCTACACTGTGGGTTTGGGGACAAGGAGGGGTAATAGTAAGATGATGCTGAAGGGGGGTTTTATTGATGCGGTTGGTAATATTAAAAGCAGAAAAATATTAATGAGTTCAAACTAACCCTTTCACGGTTTGACTTTGAGAAAATACTTTTCAAATGAAGACTTTGGGGGCTCTTCTCTTAGAGGAATACCTACAAAACAATTCCACTAGAAATGGGAATTCATGCCTGTTGGCATGGTGTGCACTGACATAACTGACGATTTCCGCCGGGCTCTCTCACACATGGGTCCAAACCAGACAGAAAATGCCAATCGTACAGGCAACTGAATTATTTGCTGCATAAAACTTCTTAATGCTGCTCTGCGCAGAAATGATGAGGACAACTTCAAATAGTAGATGGTGATTTGGAAGAAAAATAACATATTTTAAAAAGAGGAAATTCTGTGCACGGAGGTTAATACCATACTTAGTCCTGCAGCATTGACTAAAAATTGTGTAATTTTTCCCCTTCACACAATGTTGTTTTTGTTTCTTCCTCACCAGTTCAGACAAACATCTGTTATACTGTAGAAGGACAACTATCTCCCAAACCACGGAGTGCGCCCGCAGCCAAAGTCAACAACGCGAGCCCCAAGCATTGAGCACAGTCAGCCTTTATATCCAGCCGGGATAACATTTCACATGTTTTGATTAAAATTAGCTAATTTGTAATTCTAGAACCTATGAAACTTAAAAGCTGCCATCCATATAGATCACATTAGGCAGTGTTTTAAAGGGCCAGTGCACACTGATTTCCTAGTGGCTTCACTTCTCTCCTCTTCCCTCACCCCATATTTAAAATGAAATGAAAAAGTAATCTGGAAATGCAGGACAGGAGGGAAGGGTAAGTGAGAAAGAATGGTTTTTGTAGACTGTTTGAATTCCACCCCCATTGTAAGACAACTACTGGTCTCTCTTTTTAAAAACTATCATTGAATTCAATGGTGGTTTCCATCAGAAGGAATGGCACTGATTTCCAAGGCAAATCTTCCTAAACTCTCTTTGGACCGATTGAGGCTGCCCCTCATGGTTTCAGACACAAAGTTCCTCACCCAGAAATAAAAAGTCAAATCTCCAAATTGAAATTGCTAAACATATGCACCTACGTATTCATACAGCAAGTCTTATCCATGTGCCCCTTTCTAAACGGGCTTCTCAGAAGGCACTCTCACAGAATATGTTTTAATCAAGAAAGCGTCAAAACGCGATAAATTTTATTTAGTTGCATGCCATTTTCATCCAGTCTGTCTTTTAAACACAAACTTCGCCAACCTGACAAAGTCAGTTGGCAGTGTTTAGAATTCTATGCAGAAGACGGTGAACATCAGGACGGCTACGGAATGAAAACTAAAGTCCCCCTGAAAACTGCTACTTGCTTGTAATTCACAAAAAGAAAAAAAATATATATATTTTTTGAAATCCAGAGAGACTCATGAAATCAACACAGAATAAAACCCTAGCCGGGCAAAAGCTTCAACTTCATGGAAAATAAGGGCGGGGGGGGGGGGGGGTCCGGAGCTGAGCGGTGCTCTTGTGCAATCGCTCCAACGCGAACAGCTGGAGCGCCAGGCGGCTGCGCTCACCACCTCTGGAGCACCGCTGGCCTGGCGGGGAGCCCGGCCTCGGCGACAGGACTCCCGGCTGGCCTTTCCGAACAATGGGCAGGCGCTCTGGAAGGCCGCCCCTCAAACAGTTATCTTTCAGCCGTGCTAGCCCGGGTCTGCTAAACTGGGAAGCGGAGCACGCAAAGGGGAGCGGGAGGCGGAGGCAGCCGAGTGAGAGGAGCGGACAGGGGCGGGCGAGGCGAGCCGGCCGTCAACACGGTACCCAGACCCATGCCGCCGGGGCCGCACTTGCCGGGGCACTGACAGCCTCTTTACACCACCGCAGCTGGCTAGTTGGGGGGAAGCGGGATCGAGGAGCGGGGAGATGAACTGAAGGGCAGGGAGCAATCGAGCGCTCCCGGGGTTCCTCGGCCCGGGAGCTCCTTAACTTTGGAGCGATCCGAGAAATGGTTCCCGAAGAAAAGGGGGAAAACTACACCGCCGACTAGGAAAGCGTCTTCACCATGTCCACCCGTCACTTGGGCCCCCGGTCCCCTCCCACTGAAACGCGCCTGTGCCAACCTGGGGTTTATAAGGTTAAATAGTATGTGGTTTCCCGGCCGCCCCCCACCCATCAAATCGGAGGCAGGCAAATCTCGGGGATGCAGCCCGCGAGTTGGCCTCGGTTTTGCACCTGGAGGAGGAGCTGAGGCTTTCTGGGCATCCTACAGAAACTGACAAGCGCTCCCCGTACCCCCCAAATCCATACAACGGCCAAAAGGGAGCGAGCGGAAGAAAGAGCTCAGTCTCTCCAGCCCCGAAGTCCCAAAATACCTTCATTTCCTCATTGATCTCCCTTTTCACCGGGTGAGCCGGTTTCCTGCTCCTTTTATTTTCCGGAGGTCTCCCTTCTTTCTCCATTTCTGCCATGTTTTTGTGTCTGGTTTCTGTGGAGATGAAATGGCTGCTGCCGCCGCCGGCGGTGGTGGTGGTGGTGGTGGTGGTGGTGGTGGTGGAGGTGGTGCTGATGGTGGCAATGCTGGCGGAGGTAGCGGCGCTGGCGGGGCTGGGGCTGGGGCTGGGGCTGGGAGGGGGGAGGGCAGGCGGGCGCCGGAGAAGCGGGGTCTCTTCTAGCGGCGGAGAACGTCAGTGGCTGTCAGAGGGAAAGATAGCTCGAGGAGTCTCGGGGATGCCGCCGCCGCCGCCGCTCCTGCTCCCGCTGCCGCCGCAGCCGCCAGCGCCGCCGCCGCCGCCGCTGCCCCTGCCGCCGCCGCTGCCTCTGCCGCTCCCGCCGCCGCCGCCGCCGCCGGGCTGCATCCTCGGTGCCCCGTGGAGTCGTCAGCCATCTTCCGTCGCTCTGTCCGTCTGCATGGGCGAGCGGAACGAGGGCCGGGCGCGGAGAGAGCTGCTCTGGGCGTGCGTGCGTGGATGTGTGTGTGCGCCGGGGAGAGCGCGCCAGCCCCGGCGCCCAGCGCCTCCCGCGAGCCGAGCCGGGGGCGGGCCGGGGGCCGGCGCGGGGAGGAGGGGGCGGGAGGGAGGGGGAAAGGTGGGGGGGGCTAGGACGGCCCCCGGCTCCCGAGCGGGCGTGGCTTCCACCGTCACTGAATACGCGGATGCTGCGCGGCTTCGGGGGCTGCTCGCGGACGCTTGCTCATCCGCGGCGGGCACCGGCGGGACGCGGCGCCCCTCGCGGCTGCCACCTCCGCGAGACGGGCCCTGGGGCCGCCCCGACCCCAGCTATTCTTAGCTCCGTGATGTGGGCTCGCGTGGGTCTGAAGTTAGCTTTTGAGCCCGTCCTAAAAGCTGCTAAAGAAAGAAAAAAAAAAATGAATGGGGGTGGAGGGAGGAAGGTGGGCGGTGGGAGGGCACGGGGACCCGAGGTCGAGTTGTAAAAGGGCCGCTTTGCTTTCCCTCGGGGAAGGCAGACCGCGCTAATCGCCTGCGGATCCGAGCGCCGGGGTCTCGGGGGGAAGGAGACCACTGCCCGGACCTCCCCCCGCAGTTGCCAGGACAGTGTCCTCTCCGGGGGCCCCCTCAGGGTGCGCGGAGGCAGGAGGCCCCCTGGAGAGGTCCCTGTGCCCGCTCCGCGGGTTCCCAAAGCGGCGCGGGCTACGACTGCGCTGGCAAGACCGCTTTTGCCTCTCAATGAACCACTTAGAAGTAGGACATCTCGGCCCTCAGCCCCCTTTCTTTCTTCTTTCTTTTCCCTCCAGTTCGCTCTCTTTCTCTTTCTCTCTCTCTCTCTCTCTCACACACACACACACGTGTCTCACTACAAAGTAACAGTTTTACCCTGTGACCCCGCGCGCACCCTTGTCCCAGTGCCCTGGGTTTAACCTCCAAAGCATTCGGTGCTGCTGGGAGCGCAGGGTCCCGCGTAGGGTTCCGTGGTCCGGGAGCCGGTTGCCCTCGCCCCGCCCGACGGGACCCTCCCTACACCGCCCGGCGACACTTCACCGCGACTTCCCTGCGCCCGGCTGCTCTCATGCAGCCGCGATCGCTCTCCCTGAGCTCTCGCGCCTCCGCTTTGGCCCTCTCGGTCCTCGCCTGGGGCCAATCAAGCTCGGATTGCATTTGTCGCTCTCTGGGTTGAGGCATCGGTGTGAGCGATTTGATGAGGCGTCCCTGAGATACGCAGCCCAGACCGCTCCTACGCGCTGCAGGGGGCACACTGACGTTCCCCTCTTCGCTTTCCCGCGCCGCCACACTTCGTAATTACCTGACACAATGCGATATGGGGGTGTCCATTGTTCCACTGCTTGTTATTATGGAGTGTTCATTATAACAGTGGTGGAACTTAAAATTACACAATTTTTTAAGTACTTAAAGATTGAATGAATCGGTTTGGGGAATATGAGTCAGCTTTCCATTAAAATCTGTTTGGCCTGTCAAACGAGGCTCATTCTGGGTATCACGTTGCCTAATTTGCATTTTAGCACTGTTTTGTTTCTAGAACGTCAAATTAGAGATATTTGGGAGCTCCTCGGGAGGGCTAAGCACTTCTACGGTGCCTGTTTTGCATCTTAGCATTATTTTGGGTCGTAAATGCCAAAATACAAATGCTTGGGAGTGTGTCCAAGAAAGCTGAGCACCTCCCGTCGCCTCTTCTCTTCCCGGTGTGGAGGGAGGTGGGGTGGGGGGGGAGCCGCACCCTGCTCTGCGTGGCTTGCTGGATCCCAGGCGAGCCAGGAGGCCAGAGTGAGAGAGGCAGAGTCAGAATCTGCTCCTGCAAGGGGTCCAAGCAAAACATTTGCCCGGAAAAAAATGTTTAAGATCCTGGGGTGGTTATCTGGGGCAGAAAAACTCAAGAGAGGTGGATTGCAGAGTTTTTAGGGAGCGCTTTGCCATACAGGCATCAGTTTGTTCAAGGTTTTTCCAGCAACCTCTGGAGCCTACCCAGGATACACAGGTGTGAGCCCAAGTCTTCTGGGAAGTCTTGAAGACAGTAGTAGCCCACAAACGACATACAATGACCCTGGCAACAAGAATGAGGAGAGGAGCCCAAACCTGTTCGCAATAATGCACTACTCCCCGCCTCCCCCTTTCCTAGAACAATAAAAACATTCCCCAAGGTGTGAAAGTGGGTATAGAGCTTCCTAATGCTGTTGCCAGTAGGGAGAGATGGAGAGCGGGTCTTTTTGGTTTTTCAATCTGAATTTCATCCAAAACATCTGATAATACGTGAGTTGGAGGTAGTTTGTTTTCTCTGTTTTGTCCTCTTGGTCTTTAATAAGTAGTCAGAAACTTTTTTTTTTTTTTTACTTTTAAATATTCTAAAACGGTGGAAACATATGTTGTAAAGTATACACAAAGGGAAGCTTTTTGTCTTCTGGAAACATATTTAAGTCCCCTCCGTTTCCTTTAGTGCCAGAAGCATTACAATCGATTCACTGTTATTCACTTGATATCAAATAACAAGTTATATACCCAAAGTCCTAAGATACAATTTCACAAGTTAAGAATAAACAGAAAAGGTGAACTGTAGCCCAAAGTTATATTAAGAGGCAGCTATACTTCCTTTAAAGGAAGTTTCTTCTTCTGCAATGGCTCATTTAATAAAAGTAGTGATATTAATCAGCTACCTGTTCTTTCACAGCCCTATGTCCTCCAGAAAACTGAGGTTGAGAATATTGTCTTAGAATCCACGATGCTTATCTTCAAGTGAGAGAATGAAAGCTCATATAGTATGTGTGTGGGAACTTTTAGTCCCGAATGAACTTCAGAACTAATGATTGTTATAGCTTATTAATGTCAAGTTTTAGGTTTCTTCAAATGTATTATAGATAAAGACAATTATAACAAGAGTTGCTGCTTTATGAATTTGGATATATCATGAGTCTGATCATGTTCCATAGATAACTTTATACAGTCTGTTGGACGATAACCCCATGTAGGTAGAAACAATCTCCTACATTTCCAAAGAGCCACTCTTTCCCTACTATGATTTACCATTATGCCACAGCCACCAGCTCACACACACACACACACATGCACACACACCACCACTACCACCACCATCATTCAAAGCCCTAGTCATAGAAATAGTCTTTAATATTCCCTTTACGACCCCCAACAGTCACCAAGATAAGTATAGGACTGACCTTTTTTATACATTCCTTGGGCATATTTTTGCGACTTTTACTCTTCAAGTCCTCTCTTGATATTCATTCTAACCAAATTCACCTAGAAAATACCTCAGAGAGAAGATAGGAAAGCCCCAGGATGGTGTGCTTTGGACCCTCAACTTCTAGATCTGCTTCTTTGTTCTCTCTAAAACCACCTAACTCTGAGGCCCAGTCTTCCCACCTGGTAAGGAATGAATAAGTATTTGCTGATTGATTTGTATGACATAATAACACACTTACAAAGAGACTTTCCTGTATATTGTTTGAAAATAATGCTCATATTGAATAAGCTCTGTGGTCTAACCAAATACAAGGACTAAAATATGCAGAGAAGTTACTATGCTGAACACATTATAAGAATTACCTCATTTAATATTGACAAAATCTTATGAGGCAGCTGTTACGGTTATCCCCATTTCACAAATGAGAAAAGTAAGGCCCACACAAGATAAGTTATTAAGTCACAAGCTAGTAAGTGTTGGGCTTTGTGTCTGTAACTTTCTGTCCAACTCTAGTTATGGATTTCTTGATACTATGGTAACCTGATTTAATAAGTCCCTTTTAATAATCTGTGTTTTATCTAATCTAAGCCCCAGTTGATCTGTTTACATTTTAACCCGAGATTGTGATACATCTTACAATGAATTCTTATAATTATAAATGACAGCCTTTTTTTCTCCCCTCAATAGCACACTCTCCACTCAGTGGTGTGTTTGGTTATGTTAGATTGTGCTACAACAGCAAATCAGAAAATCTCAGGACTTAAAGCAACAAACATTTCTACCGCTTGCTCACATGAAGTCTCCTGAAGATCTTTGTGACTCTCCAGAGCAACTGTCCCCTCTGTGATGGCTTGGCATTCAATCTCCACGCCAGCATGTGCTTCCATAGTCACTTCTCTAGAAGATGGAACCCTGAAGGAGCTCTCACCAGCAATTAAATGCTCCAGCCCTACAGTGACATATGTCACTTCTGTCTCCAATCCATTGGCCAGAGTTAATCATATGACCCTGCCCAACAGCTAGGGAGGCTGGGAAATTTAATTCCCCCATATTCCCCACAGGAGAGGAGAACTGGATGTGGGGGATCATTTAACATGAACCACAAGGCATCTTCATTGAATAAAATATGGTCATTAGGATCAATCAATGTAAATATCAGGGATCTTTTTTATTCAAAATCGATGAGCAGCAATTGGCTTGTGATGTGTTATATGCCCCCTAAAACATACTGTCAAAGTCTGTGCTCATGTTTAATTTCAGAGAACAGAAATTCAAAGTCAATTTCAAAAAGGACATTATGCAACAGCATAACTATAATACAGGGGCTTTAACCAGGGGTCTACATGTGAGCTTCCAGACCTTTGGAATGTCCTAAAATCATAAACAAAACATTCAGCTCATTTTTTTCTGGGGAATGGGCACGTATGTGTCATCATATTCTCATTTGGGATTCATGACTTATTCACTCATTTATTCAA